GTGCGGCGGGGGGGGGGCGGTTCAGGTTTAGTTTCAGTTCCTTCACTTTTGGACTTTCGAATTACGACGGAAGAAGGCGGTAGAATGTCGTCCTCCAAGGAGTCTAAGCACTAATTTTCATCAAGGTTCACAAATTTAGAAATATATTTTTTTAAGTTTAATTATTTAAATTATTCAGTTCCGAATCGCAACCGTTGTTGAATCGGGCGCAGGATCCGCAATCATATTGCATGTGAAGGTTGGAAACCACCCTTAGGTAATATGAAATCTAACGAAGTTGTTTTGAACCATTTTGAAAACTTCACTTCACTTTAGAAGAACACCTATTTTGAAAAGTATCATGACAGTTTAAGAATTAACTTCATTACTGTTAAGCCCTGTAAGAGGTAGATCGATTTCTGTTACTTTCCTTCACCGTCAACGTTCTGTGAGTAGAATGGGCTCTCGGCCGTTTTCCGGTTCTAGCTGAATATTCCGTTTGCCTATGCCTGTTGCTGATGTATTATCGGCCGCAACCGTAGGACGTTCCGTTAAAATTATCGGCGAGAAATTTACAGCAAAACAGTGCCCTCTTCATCAGAACTTTTCGCGCCGGATCCTCAGTGGCACCAACCGTTTTTAGATGAGGGCAGTACACTCCGCTTCTTTCTACCAATCACTCGCCTTGCGATTTTCTAGTTAAGTCTTTGTCTGGCCTTTGTCCCACAAACAAAACTTAATAAATATCACATCTCTCATTTGTCATATGGTAATATTTCCCGTCTCATTTTAGCAGCGTTCGCATCTTACTTGATTGTTTATGTTTCTTGTAGGTTCTCAGGTTGTTGTGCCGATAGCTGACTTGAGAGGCTCCGAAGCGGCGAAGTACTCGTTGACCGAACGTGTTTTGCGAAACAAGCTTGCCTCATTATATAGGTTGGTAGATCTGTTCAGTTGGTCGCAGGGAATCGGCAGCCACATAACGGTAAGGCCGTCGATAAGTCCAGGCACACGTGCTGACGTTGCTTTTATTGTATTGGGTTTATTTTCGTCTTTCTCGTTTCAGCTGCGGCTGTCGCCAGAAACTGAGGCGGTCCTACTTAGTCCGTTCGGATATTTGTACCATGAAGTGAGCGCCAGTTCGCTGGTAAAGGTCGACTTTGCGGGCAACGTGTTGGACGCCGGCACGACGGGGCTCGGCATCAATGACACCGAGTACCAGCTTCATGCGCTGATCCACCGTGGCCGCCCAGACATCCGTTGCATCATTCATCTGCACACCCCGGTTGTGGGCGCGGTAAGGCATAGGCTAGGAGACTGTAGCGGTAGTTAATGTCGCTCATTGTATTGTTGAGTAACAATTGCAGGTGGCTGCCATGAAATGCGGTCTTCTTCCCATCTGCCACGAAGCGATAGTCATCGGCCCAGTGGGTTACCATGATTATAAGGGCACGGACTTGAACGATTCTGAAGAGCGGGAATCGATTCTGCGAGATCTGGACAGAAACAAGGTATCAAGTGTCGATAGTTGTCACATAAACGTATTTGCTCTGCCGCTAATTCCAAACTCTACCGGAGTACCATCGCTTGTTTGCGAAACAATCTCTTAATCCTTTTCAGAATAGGAGCATGCGCTTCGGTTCGATGCTGCGGATCACCAGTCACAGATTAGCATTCTTGTCTAAAGCCCGTTCGTCACAACCGTTATCACTGTTCTGTATAAAGAAGCTACCGGTTAAAATGACAAAATGACACAGAAACTTTCACATGGACCATTTAATAGCGTCTTACAGCCACACAATCCATATAAACAGTCGCAACGTGTCCGAAAAGCGGTCACAGATCTGAAGTTAAAAAAGCGCTTTTACTAGCTGTAGCCAACAGCTAGATTTATTAACCTTTACGGTGCTTATCATTGTCATTGAATCTGACATATTGCAAAGATTATTATCATGTGATCTAAGTAAAAAAGTTAATCCACCGCGCCGGTTCGTTCTGAGCCTGCTATGTGCGCAGACGAGCGTGAAAGTTTGATTTGAAGCTCGACAGTCTCGTATTATGTCGTCGTGATCGATGACGTCATCAGTAGGTCCGTTGTTTGTATCGAAGATATTCGTTGTTTCTTCGCCACATGTCGTTAACGAACAGCATTCAGCGATTTCTCGGTCTTGATTAGCAGGGGTTTGTGCCAAACTGGCATTCACGAAGCAGTTATATCATCTCGGTGGGCTTTCCTTCGGGTTCAGTGATCGATTCCCTGGGATGCTCACTTCAGCGTTATCCACGAAGATCATAAGCGTATTATGCATCATTTTCTACCGGTGTTGCCCAGCAGACTTTTACGATGTAAACGTTCGTATGGAAAGCAGTTTTTTACGCAAACTGTCAGTTTAGGTACCAGCGAACTACAAAAACTGTCGAGTACAAGCGTTTCCCTAACTGAAATTTTCATCGGTACCTACTATATTCCCTACCGTGTTGTGCATATATATATAATGTCATATGTACAGTACATGCAATGTTACTATACGGTCTGGTGTTACGGGTTCTGCCGGAAAGAAACGCATTGTAAATTACCAATTGCATTGTAAACCATGCGACATATCTTTCGCATTTAGTACTCATTCACTGTCAGTGTTCGAAGCTAGAAATTAGCTAGTCCTGCTTTTATTTTCATGATAATGTGAAAATGCTTCATTGTATACGTAGTATATGCCGCACGTATT